AAACACTCTCCATGGGCTTCAAGCACCTCCTGAGTTCTGGCTGGACTGGTTTATAAAGACTTTATAAAATAACAAAAGTTCACTAGAAATGGTTCTCTTAGATGAAGACTTTCTAGTTTAAAGTAAATTTTTTATAAAATGTGAGTTGATTAAAGATATCCAAAGGGGGGAGAGATGTCCTTTCGATGCTCTAAGCAGCCCCATGAGATCTTACAGCCCAGAAACGTGGCAAGGCCTGCTGGGTTTATTTGATTCCATTTCTTGCTCTGCTGTGGCCCAGACTCTATTGAGTGAGAGTCACATCCACCTATCCCACTTACCTCACTTTTCAGGAGAAAAAGCAATCAGTAATAACAAAGCATTATGGGGAGAAAAGCAATTAAAATGGTAACATAGCAATGCCTATGAACAAAATGATCAAAGTAGTGAAACCTAATAATAATACCACAAATTTATTAATTAAAAAAAATAGAAGTAATGGGAAATAAATCATTCTTGGGCCTTTACATATGATTGTCAGACTTTGTGAAAACTCCCCCAAGGCTGTTTGAAAGATGCACTACAAGCAATGCTTGCTTCATTCAGTTTGCCAGAATGCCAACTATCTGTGTGTGTGCAGGTGTGCACTTGTGTGTGCATGTGCGGGTGCAACTTCGGCAGGAGTTGCAGTGTCCCCGAGGGTAATGTGGCAGCTTCCTCACCTGCTGCCTAGGTGACTTTGGACAAATTACTTACTGTCTCTGCACCTCAGCTCCCTGATCTGCAGAGTAGTGATCATGATAGTGTCTCCCTCACAGGTTATGAAGATCAAAGAAGAGAATATTAAGCAACACTGTGTGCGAAGCTAATACTAAACATTACCAATAGGGGGAGGTTGAACTGAGCAACCTCAACTCATCCATGAAGACTATTTTAACTTTTTCTAATAATTGATACCATTCATACTTTCTCACTATCTGAGAAGCTAATATGTAACTTGCTAATAATTTCATATATTTGGGGGGCTCATAATCAGCATTTATTGTCCTAGTTTTTAGTCCAAAAGCTCTTTGGGGCTTTCGTCTGCCACTCACCCTTGTGGATGGGGAATTAGATCTATAACTGGCTGGTTGCACCTGTATATGTGAGGATGCCTATGGATCTCTTTCGAACTGAAGCCAATGAAAAACCTTCTAACACAAAGAAGCTGTCAGGGCAGGGGAGTGGGTCCGAAAGATTTTAAATGACATATGCCGAGTGAACAGATCAGGTTTTGTCTGGTTCCAGGCTCTCTTTGGAAGCCCACATCCAGGTGGGTCAAAGGGCAGGCCTGCCTAGGCATCTCACCGACTCTCCCAGCGAGGCCCGGGATGCCCGGCAGGTCTCCCCAGTTTATGGCAGTCACCGGCTGCTCCCTCTGAGGGATGCCCAGCATCTTCCTGCTGGTCAGGAAAAGCCCTGGAACCAGGCCTGCAGGGCTGTTCTGAAGGGGAGCAAGAGCAGAGACAGAACATGAAACTTGGAAACTGGGAGAGGAGCTTCGAGTGCAGCCAGACTGGGAATGGAGGGACTGGATGTTCTGCGGGCCTTCCTAGCAGCAGAGCTTCTGGATAATGACCTTTGACCTTCCAAAGCAAGCCAAGGCCATTGCATAATCATATGGATGGGCACTAAAATGCAGTCAAAGAAAGGGCAAGTTCTCTTTTCTTTGATGCTCACTCAGCAATTTCTGCAGCAGGTTTGCCAAGAAACATGCCAGAGCGCTTCCTGAGCATGTGCCCTTGTTAGAGCATTTTTCCTGTCGCAATGGGCACTGTAAGCTGCTAAGGTCGCACTGGAGATATTAGCTGTATGGTGTGGACATACGTCGTGATCCACTGAGAATAGTTCCCACAACTCATTTTAACTTAAATAAACACAGTACACACACACACACACGTTCATGTTTAATAAATTCAGATTTTGTGACTTAGAATATTAAGGGTCTTAAATGGTCCATCCCATTTCTTATATTCAATGTGTGATAATAGTCTAACATTAGTTCCAAAAAGAAGTACTCTAACAGCCATAACTTATTATAGGACATTATCCTTGATTATTCAAAAAGTTTTTTATTAATTTTTTTCTATTACAATTTACACTTAATATTATTTTGTATTAGTTTCAGGCATATGACATAGTGGTTAAACAATCATATACTTTACAAAGTATTCCCCCTGGAGCCTATTAAAAAGATTTTCAGAGGGGGAAATAGAACCAATAATGTTGTATAAGTAACATTGCACTTTATGGATATTGACTTGGTCTAAATTATGTCCATGCAGCCATGCATTTCTCTATTATATTTTCATTTATCTATTATATTTTCATTTTGTATGCAGCCTTCTAGGGAACTTTGCATTATGCAGAATATATATATATATATATATTTAGATATATATGGTTTTATGCAGTACTTTCTTCCACTTGTTCTAAAACACACTCTCTCTCTCTAATCTGAAATATTCTTTAATGATTGTGTTTATTTATTCATTTATTCTTGAAGCAGCTAGTTTGCAAGTATAGCCTCAATTAACCATGCCTCCGAGCATTCCTGCCCTTGTACAGTGGAAGTGACAGTGCCAGTGCTCAGCCTAACCCTTAGGAGGGCCTAACAATTTCCACTTTGTGCTTTTGGGATGTATACCAGTGTGAAAAAGTCTAGCTATCCTCATGGAGGTCAGCTACCATGTGGATGGATCACATGGAGAGGCCCTGACTACATGGAGAGAAAGAGGAGCCCAGCTGTTCCAGCATCCTGAGCTCAGACTTTTCCTGTTCATGCCAGCTCGCTGCCCATGTGAGTGCGCCACCTGGAAGCGGATGCCCCGCCCCTGTCAAGATGCTCCAGCTGATGCCACATGGAGCAGAGACAAACTGCCCACTTGAGTCCTGCCATAGTCATAAAATTTTGAACAATCAAATAAAATGGCTGTTATTTTAATCCACTAAGCTTTGGGATAGTTTGTTATACAGCAAAGGTAACTGAGACAAATTAATCTAACAAATATTTATCAAATACCTACTATTAGTGAACTGAGCAATAAATAAGAAATTATATTTATCATTAAAACATACAGTCCAGAGGGGAAAACTATATTAAAAGTTAGCCTTTGTGGATGACTTTTTGAATGATTTCATAAACTTCCAAAATATTTTCTTTATTGCTACCAGATAGATATCTTTTATAAGAACATAATATGGCATATATGTTCAAAATATATGTTGAATAATAAATAAATTAAAGTCAGTAGACTATCTCTGATCAATGAAAGTAATGTTGGTTGCTGACAAAAAATAGGAAGTAAAGACTTTCAGTGAATTATGTATAGAGAGGTGGATTTCATTTTATTTTTTCTTGCCTTGAACCGTCAGCCACTCACTGTAAACTTCAGTTTCCAAATCTGAGAGCCACATAAAAGGCGCACTGCTACTATGTCACTGCTCAGAGAATCTGAGCCAGGGACTCTGCTGGGTGCTGCAGGAGATTGATGATAATTGATTGATTGATATAGGGGAATTTCCCATTGAACTTGAAGCTCAGAAGGAGCCAATAGCAAACTATATAAGGCAGGGCTGTGCTCAGTACCATCTGCCCATCAGGACCACACTCAGAGGCCAAAGACAGGGAGTGACCTGTTGGTCCCCGGGCCCTCTCTCTACCAGGCTGCTCACCATTGGTTCACTGCACTCCCGGTCAGCTGTATGGGCCAGATGCTGCAGGACATTCAACAGGGAGCAAGAGAGAGGTTATCCTTAAGCTCATATCAGTAAAGAAAAAGAGCAACATATATTATTGTCCTGAACACATTGATCCTGATACTCCCACCCCTTAAGGAAATTGCTGATGGCTTGGCTTTAAGGAATTTTGCTCATCATATTGTGGACTCCTTGGTTAGCCACAGCAGGCTAAAACCACCCAATTATTCTGAATATACCAGCCAATGACCACCGTCACTCCACCCCTCACTTCCCACCACTTCTTCTTTCATCCAAAAATGCTTTTCAACACGGGCAAGAAATATGACAGAAGAACTCTCCAGTCCAACAGATGATAACAGAAAAGACTCTTTGGTGCTTGGCCTTGGCGGTCGAAGTGCATCACATGAATTCACCAGCTGCAGTTCAGATGATTTCTGTTTTACCTGGTATTAATTTTTTATGAAATCTCTCTAGGGCCCAGGGGACTGGTAATTGGCTTTTAGTTCTTTATTCTGCACTGTCATGTCTAATTGCTCAGATGGTTCCATGATACTCACATTGTAAGGTGGCTTTAATGTGCTTGCCAGCCTTCCCATCTGCAGGCAGGCTCTTGTCTTCACGTGGCATTTTAATCATATTTTTCCTTTAGGATGGAGATGGAGGAATTATTGACCTATTTATATATTTGCTTTTTATTATTAGTTTTTCATATTGGTGGCACAGAATACAGAACACTTCCAATAACACACCTCCGACTCTATTTTCTCATTCACAGCAGGGGCCAGGCCTGTGTAAGCTGCAGCCTGCTCTTCCTATGAGACATGCTTCCCTGCTTAGGTGTGACACAGGGCCTGCGGGTCCAAGGAGCATCTTCCCTCCTCTTCGTGTGGACAGCAGGTGGCTCTCATAGCCTGTCCCTGGGCCCCCTTTGTAGCCCCCATTACCAAAGAACCCCACAGGCCACTTAGAAAAGTGTGATATAGAAATGACAGGGCCTGGAGGGGCTGGTCGCCAGGACTCCACACACAAGGCCAGAGCTACAATCCTAGTTTCAGATGTTCTTTTTCTTGCCAACTTCATACGCTTTCTAAAAAAAAAAATAAGAAAGAAAGAAAAACTCTGGTCTTCTGGCCTTACTTCCTTAAAGTGAAGCTGACAGAAATGCATAGGATCTGCCTACTGCAGCTCATTTCCTCTCAGCAGTGATTGCAGCTACACACCCCGTAGACGGCGCCCCCCCACACCCTCCCCCCCCACCCTCCGCCCAACACAAGCTCACATTCTTGATTGCTCCAGTTGGTTTAAACTGTTTATAGAGTCTAGATTTTGCAGAAGTCACTATGTTTGGGGGAAAATACTTCATTTTCGGCAGTTTTGGCTTCATGGCACTACTCCCTCTGGTGCAGTGACAGCTAGAAGGAATGGGGACTTCATTCACTTGAGTGTCGGGCTTTTGATCCAGCCCTGGTTAGGAATCGACACTCTCCATGGCCATTAGCCTCCTTTCTTCTGTAAGACTTTCCATCTGTAGTCAGCGTTGGCACTATTGTGAAGTCTGAATTGGCTAGTATTTAACTCACTCGTCACAGACCATAAAAGCCTCTGCTCCTTGAAGTCTCTCAAGTGTGTGAAGACAGAATGTGCGGGGAGGAGCTGCTTTTTAATGTTTTCCCCTGTGTTCTCAGGGCACAGACGTATTGTTCAGTCACATTTGTTCAGTCCTTGAAGGCAGAAGGCAGTGCTTCTACTTGAAGCTTTGCTTCATTCAAAGGGGAGCAATCAATTTAATTCTGCGAAAGCTCATTGAACACCTCCTCCGCCTGAGAGCAGTGCCGGAGGCCGCTGGCAGGGTCTCGCCGCTGTGCCGCGCATGGAATCACGTGGAGAGCTTTGGTTCACGAAGGTCTGGGCCAGGGTCCAATCAAAAGTTCCAAGGGGTGGCTGTCTGTGGACCCCCTTTGAGTAGCACTGCTGTGAGAGACCCCTTAAGGAATTTTCAGGGGTTTCTGGAAAGACAAACACATTTAAATTAGAGATTAAGACAACCAGTAACACAGGACCAAATAACACGAGTCCCCAGGTGCACACTGGAGATAAGGAATGCCAAGGGCCTGCAGGAGGTGATGAGAATAATGTGGGCCAAAGGTATCTATCAGACTACAGTTGGCCCTTGAACAACACAGGTTTGAACTCAATGAATCCATTTACTTGCAGATTTAAAAAAAATAAATACATACAGTACCATAAATGCATGTTCTCTTCCTTATGGTTTTCTTAATATTTCTTTTTCCCTAGCTTACTTTCCTGTAGAATACAATATGTGATAACCTATTAGTAGTTAAGTTTTGGGGGAGTCAAAAGTTACATGCAAATGTTCCACTGCACCGGGGTCAGCGCCCCTAACCCCTGTGCTGTTCAAGGGTCACTGTAGTTACCACTAGTCTGGGCTGGGGCTTTGGAGGAGGCAGGGTTTTGAGGAAAGCGCATGCCATGGGTGGGTGAGAAGAGAGGGAAAGGGAAAGGGAAAGGCTTTCTGGAAGAGGACAATAAAGGGGATTGCATGATAGTAAAGGTGGTGATTGAATGTGGAGTTTGCACTGAGAGCTGATGAGATTGGTGTTCAGGGTACATAGTTTCTGTGGAAATAAATGGTGACTTAATCAAATGAGATCAGGCAAAATGCATTTATTTTGACCTGCTCAGGCAAGGGAGTCAGCTGCCAGCACTTGTGTTCTGGCAGACTCACTGGGAGACAGGAACGGGAAAGTTTTATACTAACAAAAAGGAAAGGCTTCAGGCATGCCCTGATTGGAGGCTGTTGGCATGAGGGGGCTGTAGGGGGGCTAACTAGATGTGGGCACCCCATGTGATTGGCTAGGGGTACATATTCTGCTTTCTCTGGTCAGTCCTAAATTAGAACTGGTAACAAAAATTAGAGATGCTTCCACTCATTCCGTCCTGACTTGTGGAGCCAATGGTTATAGCAGCCATTGCTTGGCTTTCTGGATTGTTACTTGGGATAGCAGTGTGGCCTCCTGGAAGTTCTGGCTTAGAGCAGGTAGACTTCCTGGACTGGTTATTGTGAATAAGGGTGTTTTCCCAGGCAGGTTGCTGCAGAGCCATTTTTACATATGGTCTGACCATTGTCCATTTTGCACATTCAGTCTATCATTTTTGTTTTAGAAAGAGCTGGATACTGTAGGGTTTTATGGGCTTGTCCTGATGTCATCTCTCCTTTTATTTTGTTATTTTTACTATATATTTTTTTATTCTTGACAGTCCATTTATCTTTTTTTCTGGGGCTTGTAGCCTCAGTCCACTTAATAGGTGACTTTGTGAGTGTCCCTTTCTTTTTTTCTGAGCACTCCTAATCCCCATCTAGGTTCTGTTTATTCTATAATCCCCCAGATCGATAACGAGTAAACTCCTGGAAAAGGTATTGGCCCAGTGGTCCCTGAATAAAGCCCAGTTCTTGGGCTGCATTGCTACTCACAATGCACAAGCCAAGACCTGGATCCCTGCAGAGATGCCAAGGCTGCTTGGGAGCCGTCAAGGACTAAGGGTCACTTTTCTCCCAACCTCCTGTGAAAGAACAACTTAACGGAGTGCTCTCTGCAGAAGCTCCCAAGTCCCCCGATAGAGGGGAGTCCTGCGGATTCTTGCTGGATGGATACAGCTGCGGGCCTCAGTACCTCTGCTGATGGAGGGAAATGGGAACTCTGCAGGAGGGGTCCTACAAAGCTAGCATCCTACGGGCCTGCAGGCCCCAAGCAACTGAGCGAGGTCATCCCTTTTCCTGGCAAGCACTTACAAAGGCTCCACAGCACTGCTCCCTAGGCACTATGCTGAGGTTTTGCAGGAATACCTTCTGCACTCACCATCTGTCTGCAGCTGCTTTGGTCACAGAGTTGGGCTGCCAATCTTCCAGCAGAGATGTCCTTCCTTCAGGTTTCTAGACCAGCTCCTGTTTGCCTCATTTTTGTTTGCTCCCTGAATCTCCTCCTGATGTGGCTCCCAGGATGTCTAGTAAATTAAATTCTCTAAATGAAGCACATGTGTTAGGGCTTCCTTTCTCTTTTTTACTGAATTTCTTATTTATTGCACTTAAACTTATTTCTCATGGAAAAATTCAACAGGTAAGTTGATCACATATTAGACTGACCCAGTAAACTAAAATGGCCATAGGCACTCAATGTAAACTATTTTAACATTTAAACAGTTCATAGGAAATAAATAATACATCTGGTGTCTAGGGCTTTTTCAGCTTTGATATCAGAGATGTTGAATATGTTTGGATATACGTATATTTTCTGGGGGGGAAAACAATATGTATGTGTTTATTGCATGAGAGATAAAAATTAAGTTATAGAAATAATTATTCTGTTATGTATATGGATGTATAGATTCCTAGCTACACCTCAATATTTATTTTTCCATTTTTTTCTACAGTAATTGAACCTTCCATTTTTAGCTGAGCACTTCTCTGGAAGAGGAATCTTATTTCCCAATTTCTCTAGTCGCTAATTGTGGCCAGGTGACAGAACTCTGGACAATGAGGAACAAAGGAAGACGGGTGTGAAATTTCTGGTATGAGTTCTTAAAAGTGGGGGTGTGCTCTTTCTTGCTGAACTTTCCTTACAGCTGGCTGGAATGTGAACCTGAGGGCTGGAGCTAAACACCTTTATGAGCCTTAAGGATGGCAAATAATGACTAAATTAGAAAGAGCATGGTGCCCTGATGGCTGTGGAGCTCCTATGCCAGCCCTTAAGTGAAAGTAAAATAAACAGGTGTCTAGTTTAAAGCACTATTTTTTTATCACTTGCAACCAAATCTATTCCTAACACACACAACAAAATAATCAAAGAGCAGGGAATAACATTGGTCTTAAAGGTTAGGAAGAGTATTGATACCATACAGGACTACTCTTGCCTTTGTCACCTTGAATCACCCTGGAGTCACAAATAGTAACTATTCATGCTCACAGACTCTAGTGAATTAGAGCTGCTCATACACACAGGATGATAAGAGGTTGTTATATCCAGCCACTGATGTTTGTTTGCCTTTGTGTTATCACCAAGAATAAAGTAATGCCATGTCAACTATATAGGCAATGCTGATATCATAGCACCAGGAAAGCCTCAGGTTAGAAAAGATGGAAGGGTAAGTTTTCTTGAAAGAAGCCTGGTAAAAATCCAGGCTTCACAATATCAATCTCTAATCCTTCAGGGACAAGCAAGTAATGTAAATGGAGCACAATTTAGGACTACCTGAGTGTCAGGAACTCATGCTCAAAGCCCGAGAGTCCATTCCCTGCCTGGATGCACGCAGGTTTTTCTAAAACATGCCTGTGGCCCTAGCCAGTTTGGTTCAGTGGATAGAGTGTCAGCTTGTGGACTAAAGGGTCCAGGGTTCAATTCCAGTCAAGGGCATATGCCCGGGTTGTGGGCTTGATCCCCAGTATGGGGCATGCAGGAGGCAGCCAATCAATGATTCTGTCTCATCATTGATGTTTCTCTCTCTCCTTCTCCTTTCCTCTCCAAAATCAATAAAAATATATTTAAAAAATAAATAAAACATGCATTGTGGTCAAATAAAGCACATCTTTGAATTGGTCCTATGCCTGGGCCACCAGTGTATGCCTCTGGTTTATAATGAACACTGCACTAAGTTATAGTATATTCCATTCTTGGGGCAAGACATGATCCCAGGATTCAAGGAATTCATAATGAAGGGAAAAAAGTCAAATTAGTCAACACAATTTCTGTTTGTATGATGCTTTATAGAGCCTGAAATACCTCAGCAGGATTATCTTTGAGCTTGACATGAGATGTGGAGGCTAAGGGAGTGACCCAGATGAGATACTCAAACTCAAGTACTAGCCAGAGAAAGGAAGAAAGTATACACATAGGGTTAGAACCAGGAGGTACCTAATTTTCAGAACTAGGGTTTCCGATCCAAACAGTAAGCCATTAGTCTTCTTTTTTCTTTCTTTCCATCTTTCTTGAAACATAGTTGACATAGAACATTGTGTAAATTTAAGGTGTACAATGTGATACACCATCAGTCTTTGAAGCATATGACAAGAAATAACCAGAACAAGAAGCATAATTTTAAAATGCTAATAAAACAGTATAAAACAGTATAAAATGGATGTTTTGTGTGTTATATACCAAAATTAGTGTTAAGTTCAGGAGGGATAATATGCAGACAATACAGACTGATATGTTGGTAGTCATTCTTCCCTTCTACCCATTCAAAGATACAAGACTGAAAAATAATTCATAAAATCAAGACTTATAACAAAGCCCAGAGTTAATGACCTACTTGGTTCAAATGCCCTTTAATAAAATAGGTGATATAATCTTGGAAATTATTAGAAATACACCTGGTCCTTTTAATCTCTAATTACTGACACATATACAACATTATTTCATAGACTGTCATTAAGAGAGGCTATACTGCTCTAACTCCCCATATGACAAAACTGATGACAATTCAGAAAAATAAAACACATGTTCCTATAAGTCATGACATTATACCCAAATTAACATTATCTAGCTAGAAATAATTTATCTAGTCTCATTTGAGCTAGTAAAGAAAGAGATTAGAACATTAGAAGAGACTCTGAGAAACCATACACTCAAAAGAGAAGCTGGGAATGAATCACGGACCTTAGGCTTCATCCTCACACTCCTCACTTGTGAGCTATCTTCACTCAAGTGAAGGGAGAGAACATGCCTGAGAAGTTGCCAAAGAAGCTTGATATAGGAATACACATATTGACACTCAAACATAGGAAAGCATGGCTTAATAGCACCAGTGCAACTTCTCACATCTTCATGTGGGACAGCTGGAGAAACAAATTGACATCCAAAAGGTCACTGATTTTAGTATTCCTAGAACAGAAGTGCTTCCAACTGGGAGTGAATCCACGGTCACTGTAGTGTGGAGGGCTAATGTACTTTATTGCCTTCATCAAATCTTTAGAAATGGTACAATACTCATTGGAAAAAAACCATAAGGATAAGCAATTTAGGTTACATGGTTTAAATATGCACAAGCTATACACTTTATTAAAACATCAGAATGGTTTTTCTAGGACAACAAGACCTCTTAGCGGGATTTGAGAAACAATCAATGAGACCGCATATCCAAAAGGTATTGCCAGTTTCACTTGTCTTTCTATGGTAACACTAAAATCCCCTTTAAACCTATTACAGAATAGAAGAGATGGAGTGATCACAGGCCAGATGAAAGTGCCCGGTTTGACGGCTCAGTGACTGATTTTTTATATTAAGGATTTGACGTTAAAGATTTACATTAATGGTTCCATTGCTGGCCTAAAACAGAATACCAGTGAGGCTTCCTACTCTAATCTCTTCCTCCCCCAAAACTGTTTCAGATACATGAGCCAATAAATGTTCACTACAGTGTATGTGGTTATTTTTTAGAATAATTAAATATAAGGCCTTCAGTATGTAAGAATTATTCTGGGATCCACTCTAAATACAATGAAATAATGCATTAAGAAATAATTCAATAGCTCCAAATAAGACACTTCTTCCTAATAATCTTAAAAGTCTGCACAAATAAACAATGAAACCTCAAGAATCCATCCATAATAAAGCTTGGTTTGATAAGATACAGGTTATGATACATAACAGCAGTCATCACAAATTAATGCAGCTTTGCTCCCCAAGTACTATAGTACTTTTCTGAGCACTGGATGCCCTTTTAAATTTTTATTGATAAGGGACAAAATAACTACACAAGACCAGGATGTTGAAAGGTAATCTATATTCTCAAAAGAAACTAAAGGGTATTGTAAACAAGTTATATCACAGAAACTGCACTTATCTTTCTCCTCAGTATGAGCTATGGTTCTCAACAGCTGCTAGAATCCCTAAGCAATGGAAAAAAAAAATCAGAATTATGTGCTTTGTTTTTATTAGGTAAGATGAAAAAAATTAGGCTGGTGTTGAAAGTACAATTGATTTGAAATAACAATGCTGAAGTTAGACTCACAACTCTACCAACTTTGGCTTAGCCACCTTGGACAATTTACTTAATTTATTTCTTGTCTTGAGTTCCTTTTCTATAGACTGAAGAATTTCAATAGATTATTTTTAACTGCTTTTTAGGATCTGACCTTTAGTATGTTTATGTGCAGCTATTTATTCCTTTAGGGATTTCTAAAAAGTTTTGTTGTCATTTTTTCATAACACCTATTGAGACCACTACTGCTTTCTCCTTCATCCTTCCTATAAAATCCCAAGGCTTAGGAGAAACCAGTTTTGTTTGCGATTAGTTTGGAAATGGGACTGTGACTCAGGTTGTGAACAGTGAATTGAAAGGATTCTTGGAATGTTCATGGAATGTTTCTGAATAAACTATTCTCTTTCTCTAGACATGGTTGGGGCAGGATGTAGAATCTGAAATGTTATCACTATCTCTCTACCACTCTAGATGTGAAACCAGCATTTTGAGAAAAGCTGAGTCAAAGAAATGTTGGGGGAAATGGATCCAGAACCATAGGATTAAGTCAGCACTGAAACTGACCCTACTTTGGACTTGCAGTTACATGAGTCAACACATTTCCTATTGCTTCAGGCAGTTGGAGTTGGTTCTTCTGGTTCTTGCATACAAATACTTTTGAAATTTTCATTTCCTTGTACTTGAAGTACTCATCCATGCTAATTTTTTCTCTGCACTCACTCAGCAGGCTGTGAAGGAAGCGATAAAAGTGATGCATTTGCAAGTGTCCACTTGGTCTAGAATCTCGAAGTGGAAAGAACATGAGCTATATGGTTGTTAAGTCGAGAAACTGCATTTCATTCATCTTTGCACCCCTAATACTTATAAGGGCCCAGTAGAAAGTAGGCACTTAATAAATGTGTAATTAATTAATAAGATAAAATAATATTGACAGCTAACATTTATTGAGGACTTATAACTTACCAAAACACACTATAGAAAGTGTTCCTTCTGAATGTTGACAGTCCAATCAGCTCCCACTGATCAAA